GCGCTCCGGGCCACAGGAAGTGGCGGCGCCCGCGGGGAGGGCCCCGGACTGCGGGACTGCCCGCCGAGCCCGCGAGACGGAGGCGGCGGCCACTTACGCCCAGGGACTGCACGGCCAGAAAGATGCATCTGGTGGGCGGTAGCTTTGTCCTTTTTAAACAGAATACAAAGAAATGAGGTCCCCCTAAGGCTCGGGCTGTACGGAGCAACTTTGCAAGGACCGCCTTTGCTTTCTTTCACTTCAGTCTCCTTTCCCCTTTCTTTCAAGGAGCCCTTGGGGAGAACGTGAAGTAGCCTGCACATTCCAGTACCAGGACCAAACAGAGCCTACCAAGTGGTCACATTTTTAAAAAGGTACTTACAAAGAAAAATAACAGAAACAAAAATGCACATAACACAGGTCTGTCAAAGAAAAAAAAAGAAGAAAGTAACTTACCTGTTGGGACATTCTGAATAAGAGGTTAGTATCAGCGTTTTGCCATGTCCCCATGAACCCTGGTTCAGCCGTAGTTGCTCTGGTTCCGAACTGCATGGAGTTGTCAGAATAGGAGTCTCTTAAAGTCAAGTCTCTTGCCCTCTTTGGCTCTCTGTCTCTCTGTGTCTCTCTTTCTCTCACATCCACTTCTGCCTCTTCTGACTGAAAAGTGAAGGTGGATTTTTTGAGCCTCTTGGCAGCCAGTAGCAGGAGTGTAGTGTAGTTAAGAAGCTGGCTGAACTGTGCATTTCATTTGGGGAGGGGGAGCTTGGGGGGACGAGGGGGTTCAGAGCTTCCTTCGCACCTTCTGCACAGATATCCCTATCATTTATGCATAGATTGTGACTCCCCAGGCTTGCCTTTACTCGGTTTAGCAGCTGCCTGTCAGGTGTGCAGGCTGTGCTGGAGACCCAACCATCAGCTTCAAACCCTCAGCCACTGCATGTCATTGGATAGCAGAGCTCAGAGTCAACTGCACCGTTCCACTGTCAGGCACCAAATGACACCCCACACCAGCTCCTCTCCAGACAGCACCAGATGCAACCTGCGCACACGCCAAGCAGGGCTCCCTCACGGCACAGGGCACGGGGGCGCAAGGGTCCTTCCGGGGAGTTTCCTGACAGTGCTTTCTGATATATCCTCTAACATCTGACACCAATCTTTAACATTTGTAAAACTGTAATACTTAATTTTTTAATTACACTGAAAGAAAGTAAAACACTAGGCTGCAAAAGAACATGAAGTTGGCTCAGCTTTCTAAATGTTATCTGCTAAAAGTCATACAGTATTTGCTTGGCTAAAATAGCTACATACTGTATAAACCCATAGAGAAAACAACATCCATACAAACTTGACCTTATACTCTAAAGAATAAGCAAACCTAGCAGTTTAAAATGGAAGAGGTACCATAAACATTTGCAAAATAAATATGCACTACAATTTAGTACCTCGGGCTACTAATTACTAACTGAAGATTAATGAGAAACTTGAGTGGCAAAAAGGAGTACCTGTTCTTATGGCTCAAAAGTCTAACAAAATCCTTCCGTGAAGTTCCTAGACGAAGCACCTACTGTATCTTTCCAATCCATAAAGGAAAAGATGAAGAAATAAAGCCTGTCCCATTTCAGACAAAAAGTAATGAATATAAAATCTCTAGTTTTCATTCAAGATCTATATGGAAAATTATATCATATCTTCCTGCCTGATATGCAGCCTCAATATCAGGTTATATTTTTAATTAAACCAGTTTTGAAACAAAACATCTATTTAGTAGATAGTATTTATCTATCTTATTTATGAAAAATCAGAAGTGAACAAAATGCACTGCACATAAACACTGTGACTTCAGAAAGGAAAGCTAAATTCATGCCATCTCGTAAAAGAAGTCAGCAGGAAAAAAGCCATCCTTCCTAAACTTAAAATGTAAGGAACATTAATCTTCAACCACCTACAAATATTGAGGACAAATGTACCACTTTCCTTGCTTCTTCTTAACTAAAGAATAACAATAAACCTTATTCTCTGAAACAACAAAAGAAACAGAAAAGAGCTTCAATGGCAGCTCGGTGTCATTAGTGGACAATGAGAAAAGATGAGAAAACGGATACTATGTTGACACAAATGTGCCTTCCCTACTAGAACCGACATCTCCTGAAAGCTTTTCTGTTAAACTTCCCTCCAGTTCACCACCATTAAGCACAAAAAAGTCTCAAAAGAAGCAAATTCAATATCGGAGAGGAAGCAAACAGGAACCCAAAGAATTGTTGCCTTAAAATATATTAAGTCCACCTGTGGTCAATAAAAATCTTCTTCATGGGGGAGGGCAGGACAAGCCGGGAGTCAACCGTCAGCGGTGACTGTGCCTTTACTGCCAGCTATTACCCACTTAAACTCCCTCTAAAATTTGCTGGCCTCTTGGTTTCTGAAGTGGCACTCAGTGTCTCAGTCAGGCTGCCTGCTCAGCTCCTGACCTTCCCACTAATGGCTGTTATTTGTGGGAGGCTTAAGGACACTGTCAATAGTGAGCTTCCTCCTCACTCCACTCAAGCTGTCGCATCGCTCTGCCTGGGTGTTCTCTCGCCTCTCCCCTCCTGCCTCCTCCTCCTCGGTTTCACTCCCTCTTCCTCTCTTTCCAGCCCCCACCCCTTTTTCTTTCAGTCTTGCACTTCTCTGCTTTCTCAGGTCAGTCATCTCTCTCTCTCTCTCTCTCTCTCTCTCTCTCTCTCTCTCTCTCTCTCTCAGATCACAGCACAACACAACACAACAATCAACTGGCATGCAGCAGCAAGCACCTGCAGTAATAGACTCTTTTATTAAAACTGTTATTCTGCAAGACTTGAAATTCCCCATGGACCGGGCCATGTCAAAGCCGATATAATTAACTAGAGGCTCAGCAACGGATCAATTACCAGACAAGCAAGTGATAGTGAAATCAATGAAAGATCATCAGCCACATTATCAGTGTTGCAACTCATTAGGGCAAAACTGAGAAATGTGCTCAAAGCGAGCCCAAGCAAGGTGGCATTACAAAACAAAGGGCTAATTTGGAGACCCTGCTGTGAACAATCTGTAACAGAATTAGCCTTTTTCCCCCCTAAACTGCACAGCTCCGTAACTAAATGTGACAGACTGAGAGAAGCAGTTTATTAAGACACCAACCCCAAGTTTATTTAGTTCATAAACTCTCTCCTAGAAAATCAATACAGTCTGTACAGGGTTATTAGGCTGACTAGCTAATACATCCAAATCTGCTCTGCCCAGCCAGCGGTCTTCTGACAAAATGCTACCCCAAGAAGGCAGATAACAGAGTCTGGGGTTGGTCTAGCTGAACAGGTCTGCAATGTAACTATTACTTAGATTTCACTTCCACAGCCTGGCCTGTACACCGGGATATCAAAGGTTAAAAACAACAACAACAAACTTGTTCACAACAAATATACAGTACCTGTTAAATGGGTTTGATCAAACAACATCTTAATTGGTTTTTGAAACTAATGAAAAAGAGTAAGTTTTGTTACAGTAAGGGGAAACAACCCAAACACTTAGCCATAAATGAAGAAAACAAAAACTTCAAATGTATACATCTAGTGATTTGTGAATTTAAATTTCTAACACTCATTTGAAGTAAATTTTAATATAAGTTTGACCTAGAAATTCCCAACACACAAGAATGGAATCTGCCACTCACTTCCACGCATAATGCAAAGGGTAGAATCCCTGACCTCGTGATAATTTTCTCTCTAGCAACTGAGAGACTTAATCATTTTAGAGACTTGTATCTGAAAAATACAGACATCTTTTCAGTTTTTTCTCTCACCTACATAGTCCCCAGATTCTGGAATCACTCTCTGGCATCTGTATCAGAGTTATTTTCAAGGAGAGCGTCAAGCTTGCCTATCTCCAGAAGGTCCACTTTTGCACTCCCAATCCCATCCGGGTATTTCTGGTTGCAGAATCACAAGTGCGCCAGGCTCTATGTTCCCATTCTTACATTTACTGATAGAGAGAAACGGACCATACAAGTTAAGAGGTCTACAGAGTAGGTCTACAGAGTAGGTCTACAGAGTAGGTCTACAGAGTAGGTCTAATGGTTCCCAACTTGTTAAAGATATTACATAAATTGCTCCCCTCATCACAACATACGGCGAAAATAATTTATACCAAATCAGAAACTCAAATATACCTTACAATGATACAATGGACTAGAGAAACTGAAGGGGAAAATAGGCAACAGCTCCTGGAAGTGATTTTTATTGTTTTTGATGCTTTAATAATTTTAATCTTCCCAAAAAAGAACTGCAATATTAACAAGCCTTCAGTTTAGTACACTGATTCGAGGGTCCTGAATCCTAAACATAAAAAACCATTATTTTCGTAGCACTGTCATGACATCCAACTTCCAGGCCGCTGCAAGATCTCTTCTGTAACTTCTGAGCTGGCATCTTATCGAGCACTGATAGGTCATGCCTTTGAGTACTCTGTTTAGAAAGTCAGACACATACGTTCTAAATGTGTACTACAGACACTAACATTCCAGATAGTGATTAAAAGTTATAATTATAGGAAAACTTTACTTTTTAAAAAGCTTTCTGCATGTAACGACACACTGTGCATGCACCCTCAATGAGATCCAATTAGTTACCAAGAATTTGCATTTCAGTTAGTATAGGATAACAAGACTACAGGGAGGCACAGTGCAATTCTTCCAGCAGAGTAAGAAAGTGAGTTCTTTCTTGTTGGCTCTGTAAGCAATAATTCCCACACCTGACTTTAAAATATAACTGATCTTTTCAATTCTGGGTATTGAGGTAGGTTTAGGGTCTTCTATTTGCAAAAAAAAAAAAAAAATCATATTTATGTAAAAATCAGATAACTCATACCTAAAGAAGAAAGTTAAAGAAATTGGGATATATGATTGTGAGGTAGGTTTAGTTTTATTGTTAAGAAAGGGGAAAATACTGCACAGATTTCCTTTTCTGCTTAATACTTAATTTCTTTAAAAATTCACTGGAACTAGGAGCAGAAAACAATTTCACTGAGAAAGTTCTATGTGAATACATACAGTTGTGTGGTAAAGCCACAGCCATGCACCATCCTGAGAAAGGACCCAAGGAATTCAAGTTTTCTAGCTTTGTTTCTAATATTTTAATCTTGAGAAAATATAAAGTCAATGTAGTTTTGGTACACAGCTTAAGAGTCATCTCCAGGGCACCTGCTGGCTAGCAGAACAATACCTGTAATTCCCCGGGTTCGGTTCAGCAGCTATTAACAGATTCTGTAATCTGTAATGACAGTAAACTGGCCTTTGCTCTTCTTTTTTATTCACTGTTCATTTTCAAGGCTTGGTTAAGTACAGAGCTGGGTTAAAGATCAGTGGTTTTTCATGTGACACATGCTGGTATTCATTTAATGGCTTGTCAAGACAAAACTGTCCCTGTTCTTGCCAAAATAATAAAAATGACGCTCCATATCGCATGACAATCAGCACTTCCTTCTGGTGAAACAACTCAAGCTTTTGTAATTCACTTATTTTATAGAAAAAAATGTTAACAAGCTATCCAATCTTATATGTAGAGTGAAGCTGCCATACTCAAGGAAAATTTCAATTTTAATAATGTTTTCTTCCTAAACTGTAGAGCAACATATAAGCTAATTTCTAGTCAAATCAGACTTTACCACATAAAATAATGTTGAAGCTCAAATTCATAATGCATTAAAATATATAACTTAATATATGCAAATGACACGGAAGTAGCAGGCTGGACTCAGTCAGAGCGGTGGGGCAACCAACAGAGGAAATGTCATTTTTCTTGGGAACAAAGTATGGTACTTGCTTCGCAACATCTGGTGGACTGTGTGAAATGTTAACAGATGTCTTAAGTGGAAAAAAAGAAAAAAAGGAGTAAGAATTAATAAAGGAAACCTCTTCTGAACAGATAATCTGCCTAAATTTCCATATTCCTGAGGAGAAAGTTGACAGCCGTCTTTTTCCCTTGTGAAACCTGTCATTCCTACTTTACTGTATAAAGTTTTATTTTCTATGTGAAGGGTAAAATCTGACTCACTGTAAAAAACAGAAAAAAAGCTAACAAAAATTCAAATAATTACGAATAATTATATCATAATCTAAGCTGCTTGCTTCTCCTTGTCGCACAGAGAGAAGAGTAAAACTGTTATCTTCCTTGATACACACACATACATGCACGCATACAGAGACAGACAGAGATAAAATATGACTCTACCTGTATACTTTGGGGAAAAGGAAGTAGGGGAGACTAAAAAGCAGCTCTTAAGATACAATTCTTCTATGAACTGTCATCTTTACTTATGAAAGCACTGTTCTTCACAACGAAAATTCACCTAACATTTATACCTAAAGTCCCTGATCTCCCCAGCTAGCTCCTAATTCCTTTCCATTATCACCCTCATAAGAATGAATCACCTTTCATCAAATTGCCACGTCCTCCTGAACAGCAGTATCTGACCACTATGAACACTTGGGGAGTTACTGGTTTTGTTTTTGTTTTTTAATTTTTTAAAAAACTTATTTATTTATTAATTAGTTTGTTTGCTTGTTCGTTACAGGGTCTCACTACATAGCTTGAACTCTTAGTGACCCTCCTGTCTCAGCCTCCAGTGCGCTGGGATTATAGGTGTGTGCCACCACACACAGTTTTGGTGGGTGGTACGGTGTACCCAGGATCCCAGGGCTGTTACAGCAGGTGGTCCCAGGGATCAAACCTGGGTCCTTGTGCTTACATTTGGACCACAGAGCTATTTCTCCAGCCCATTAGTTCTATCCCTGTTTTTAAATTTCAAGGAAGGGCATAAGCGCCTGCTTGGCAAGCATAAGGTCCTGAATTCTATCCCTGGTACTGCAAAAAAATAAAAAAGAAGAAAAAGAAAGTTTAAGGAAACTTGAGAACTTTGTCTATTTAACAAGTCTCCTTCATGTTTCAGTTTCTTACAAAACTGAGCCAAGCATGAACGGAGCAGTCATTAATTTAGACCACAAGCAGACCAGCCACTGTATCTCACCTAATACCTGCGGATGAAAGAACTATGTTCCTGTATTCACCTCCACATCTTCTTTACAGACTTACTGTTCTGAAAACTTAGGACATAAATATGGGTTAAGAGTTTAGGGATTAGTGCACACTGCACTTAAGAAGGACCTTTGTGGACTCCAATGTGAGAAGCAAAAATGACATCACCTCTGGTTTCCAACCTTTCCCAGTGGCCCGCCTCTGTGCAGGAGTCTGTTAGAACTGTGAACATTACTTCCCATTTATGGCTACGCCTTTGCCAAATGGCCCCGGCATCCGGGCTGGGCATTTCAACATGTAGAAGCCTCATCCAGAAAAACCTAAAGATTTCCGAGGTTGGGATCATGGTCTAAGTTATAAATGAGACATGCAGGCCTGCCTTAGGTTTTTGGTTAGCCTTCTGCCCAGGTACTGTGGATCCTGCACGTTCTAGTGCTTACATGCTGGACTAGCACAGCAGAGAGCACAACGGGAACCAAAGCAACTGCTGTGCTCCCCGCACCCCAAAGGGTCACCTGTGCCAGGGAAAGCTTTTACACTACAACAAGTGTGAGCTGGGCGTGGTGATATGCGCAGCTCTAACGCAGGCTGCTTTAAGGGACAAAGCAGGAGGATCTCAAGTTGAAGGCCAGCCTGGTGAGAAAGGCCTTGTCTAGAATCCATAAGCCCCTACATTCCAAGAAAGCATAACAAATACATCGTTTCATGACCAACAGGAGAACACAGGCCTCCTAACATAAGGCTTGAATGGGACTCAGCTTTAAATCACTTTAAACAGTGGCGTGAACACCCTCCATAAGTAGCTATTACTGAAGGCTCCACGACCCTCCTACAGCACAAGGAAGAAATGCTCCAGCTGACACTTGCCTCTGTGCCAAAGAGAACAATCTGTGATGTAGCTCACAAGGAAACATCTAAGTGCAATAATTTAAAAATAAAACAGGGCCAGGGAGATAGCTCAGCAGCATAAGTACCTGCCAGGCAAGCACAAGGTCCTGAGTTCAATCCCCAGTACCACCAAAAATAAATAAAAAATAAAACAATGAAAAGATTGTAGGGTGGTAGATAAGCTAGGTTACAAAAAAATAGAGATTCCCAGATATAAAACCATCTAGGGTCACCATGAATCTTTGGCCCACAAAGATTAGATATTTTCCATACCTTGTGTTGGTTTGAAAACAAAAAAGTGACTATAATCTTTTTTTAATTATAATCTTTTTATAAATGCAAGCATTGACAGTGGCTTTTTTCTACCGTAACCCACATTCAATAGTTGATGAGAAAATCTCTGGACAAGAGCACTTGCTGATGTCTTTCTTTAAAGAAGGGTATTGTCGGGAGGTGGGGTGGGGTGGAATCACTCAGCTGAGTACTGAAAAGAGAATATTATTTTTTTTATTTACTTCCTTTTAGAAACTGTGGACCAAGAAGTCTGAAGCCCCAGCAAAAATGTCATACTAGTTCCAATTTCTGTCACAAAGACTGAGATTCATGAACACACAAGAAAATCATGTTGCAGGGTAGGGCTTAATACCTTACAAAATTGTTTTAAAATTGTTAAAGCTATCACCGACCAAAGGATGCTTATAGATACATAAAATTTAAAAAATGAAATGCTAATACATTTAGAAGTTTGAAAGTCATTATAAAACCAAAGACCATTTATTTAAATCGAAAATGGTGAAACAAAGCAAAAATTTTTAAATCTGTTTATTTATTTTGTACAGGATCTCACTATGCAGTTAGACTCTTAATGATCCTCCTGCCTCAGCCTCCCTGCTCTTGGATTACAAGTGTAATCCAAGGCACCACCATGCCCAGTTTCAAAACAAAAACAAATTTGGATGGTGAGACTGTTCTTAAAATTAAGAAGTTCAGATTATGCCAGAAACCCACTAAACAGCAAGTTAAAAACAGGAAGCATTCAGAGGTGGCTTCGGAGTTCTTCACAGTGATGATGTTTTGGGAAAGAGGAGCTTATAAAGGGGATGAGGGAGGCTTCTGAGCTCTGGCGGGAACTGCTTCCTTCCATGGAGTGCTGGTCCCGAGTACATTCACTCTGTAAAACTACACTTGGTGTATACGTGTAAAGATGTGTGTGCATTTCTGTAATCATGATACACTTTAGTTCTAAAAGTTCACTGTTGTTAATGGTACTACTACTACTAAAAATATTGGTAACAATAAATGAGGGCCGGGGAGATGGCTCAGTGGAATAAGCGCTTCCCTGGCAAGTACAAGGGCCTGAGTTCAATCTCTGGTTCCGCCAAAAAAATAAAAAAAATAAAAAAACAATAAATGAGCCTTCCAACTGTGGGCGGGCAAAAAGATAATGGAAAGGAAAAATACAGCACCAGAGAGAAAAGAAAAAACAAAAGAAGGGAAACAGTTTACCACAATCAACATCACCCAAATAAGGGCCGCTAAGCCTACTTCTTGCAGCAACCTCACCAGAGACAAGAAGAGTTAGGAGCAAGTAAACGTGTGAGTTTCGTAACATGAGGAGTGTGGAAGGCAGTACAGCATGGGGGAAGGATAATTAGGAGACAGCGACCTGTCACTAGGCAGCGAGAGCACAGAGGAGCTCATGCGGGAAAGCGACATACCTCGAGCTGGGATGAGTCAAGGCCACATGGGGCCTTGAAGTGTGCTTGCCAGTCCTGCTCGCCGAGTCTGCCCTCTGATTTGAAGTTAAGGCGATTTGGAGGTGGGGTGGGCACAAACCGTGCCTGTGGAGAGATCAGAAGAGGAAATTACATATGATCCACAAACAGTGGTACCTAAACGTGCTGAAGACGTAAGCACACTGAAAAAAATGTTTAAACCTCCACACACATTACTCTGACGATTCAAAGAGTTAATGGTTTCTAAGGCTGACAGCAGCAAAGAGTTAAACTAACTCTGGAGAGAATAAGGGTAACAAGCAGGAATGACCGAGTTTTTTTTTTTTTTTTTTTTCGGAACCGGGGATTGAACTCAGGCCCTTGCGCTTGCCAGGGAAGCGCTTATTCCACTGAGCCATCTCCCCAGCCCAGGAATAGCTGAGTAATGCGTTGACTGGCAGCAGACACACTTTGGCCCTGACCAGCTCTACCCCATCTCCCTCCTTTCCTTCCTCCCAGGTCCCGACAAGCAAAGCCAGGACCTCCTGCGTGCCAGGCAAGGTGCGAAACACACTATGCAGCGGTCCACTCTGCGCAGTCCCGCGGGTGGGGGTGGTGTGCTCTGAACCCGGGTCCTCCCGTCACCGCGCTCCAGGCCCTGCGACCACTTCCTACTCCTTCCACTTGCTGTGCAGTCATCTAACACATGTAGGCACTGCTGGGGACACTTAGCAGGCCTCACTTGCCAGGCACACAGGGCTGCGGGAACACAAAAGTTAAGACGCACTCCCTGCTTACACGAAGTGTACAGTCTACTACAGAGGAGAAGCCATGCAGAAAATGACCTTACATACAAACGTAATGTGGTAGGAGAAGCAGTCATGAGATTCTATCGGAATGAGAAAAAGATTCCTTCGAGCCAGTGTGATGAAAGAAAGCTTCTACGCAGATTTTACTCTGGGCACTAAAGAACTTAAAATATTCCTAGAGAAGTGATTAGGTTTGACGAGAAGGTAAAGTAGGACGCGTGAGCAGTAACACATGTGGATGGCCACTGAGAACTATGCTGAGAAAATGCTTCTGTACGCCACTATGAAGAGTTGCCACTTATCCTGTAACCCACCAACATCCAAAGGCCTGAAAGATTTCTCGGTAACAACATGGCATGATCATGGCTAGCAGGTTTAGCTGGCAACAACATGACACAGAAAGGAATGTGTGAAAAATATGTGAAGAGATTAATTAGGAAGCTACAACAATAAGCTGGGTAACTGACTGCTAGTGATGCCAATGGAAGAAGAACAAGTTATGACACAGCGTGGGGCGATAGCTCGGCCGTCTAAGCGCCTGCCTGGCAAGCTCAAGGACCCAGGTTCAATCCCTGCTGCCACGTGCCATGCGGGCCCTGGAACCCCGAGCAGGCTGTGCCCAGCCACAGAAACCCGGTGTGGTGGGGCACGCCTGTAATCCCAACGCTGGGGAGGATGAGACAGGAGGATCACTAGGAGTCTGAGATGAGTAGGAGACCCTGAACCAAATAAATAAATAAACAAATAATTTTTAAAAGTTTAATGTGAAGATAAAATCAAGGAGTGACAATTGTAAAATGTAGAGTTGGAGAATAGACCAAAGCTCTGATACGTTTCCTCAACAGACACTGAAAGTCAGCAAAGGCAAGACCCATTCACAGTGCGGAGAGGAGCCGCAGGGGCCACAGTCCAGGCTCGCATCCGAGGGTCACGGGGGAGGGTGGGAGGAGCAGCACTGCCGGGGGGCGGGGGCACCGCTGTCGAGTGTTCGAGGGACAGGGGAAGTTTATAGGAAGGAGGTCAAGAGCTGCTGCTTCTTGTTTGGTTGGTTGGGAGTTTTTGGTACCAGGGATTGAACTCAGAACTCTGCACTGCTAGGCAGGTGCTTAAGCGGCTGAACATGCCCTCCAGCCCTAGTCAAGAGTTTTAAAGGTTGTAATAAACAATATGTAGGGTATAGTAACACCAAATGTAGGTAAATATGGTAAGAACAAAACAAAATTTGAGAGACTGATAAAAACCAAATTTAGAAAAAATTTTTAAATGTATTTAGTGCAGTGTCTACAGGGTCTCACTACACAGATCGGACTCATAGTGATCCCGTCTTCAGCATCCCAAGTGCTGGGATTACAGGCACGCATCACCATGCCCAGTCTCAGTCACCATCTCAGTGCATCCTGGGGCTGGGGCTGGCACGGCATTCCAGGGATCGAACCCCAGCCCCTGCATCTGCACTTTACTCCACTGAGCTAACTGGCTGGCCTTAGAAGAGTTCTTGAAGAAGGGGAGAAGAAGAGCTAGACAGTAAAGGGTGGGAAGTGACCGGGAGAGTGTAAATTGAGTACCATAACCTGCGCCAAGTCAGATGTGTCTGTAGCATTCTTAAATTTGTGTAAATGGGTATATCTTTGACTGAAATAGCTTACAAATGTATTTTGTGGGACAGGAGTTAGTTTACACTAAACTAACATGGATACAGAATCAATATTCCAAAGAAATTATGATGCAAGTAATTTGTAAAAACAGAGACAGAAAAGATAAAAGTACACCTATGAAAATTTGAGCAACAAAAGAAGAAAAAGGTGGCTTAAAAAGTCATCAGGACCTAGTGCTGGTGAGACAGCTCAGCGCACTAAGTGCCTGCTGAGGCAAGTGCAGGCCACTCAGTCCAGGTGTGGTGGTGCACGCCTATAACCCCAGCGCTGCGGAGGCTGAAAGCAGAAGATCACTGGGAGTTCGAGCTGCTTAGTGAGACCCTGCACAAAATACAAAAAAAGTTATCAGGACCTAAGACAAGTTTTGTAAATGAGCTGAAATTTTTTCAATACAAGAAATAACAGAGTTAAACTGGGAGAAGCCAGAGGAGAAAAAATATTGAAGATCCAAGTCTGAGGGAAAATGATAGAAAAGGACAGTAAGAGTCATACAAGAGTGTGATAAGGGACAGAAATGAAAAGGTGCCTCAGCCTGGGGAGACAGCTCAGCTGCACAACGCTTGCCTGGCAAGCACAAGGGCATGAGTTCAATTCCCGGCAAGTAAATAGGTAGGTATCTATCTAGATAGACAGACAGACAGACAGACAGATGAAAGGAAAGGAAAAAAAGAGTGAAGATATTTTTGAAGACTATCCAGGGGAGAAAAGTTGGCCCAACTAGAGAGGGTAAAATGGAACTCAGGATTAGTAAGAAATGATTTTTTAAAATGGTAGGTGGCAGATTCCAAAAAATGCAGGAAAAGCCATAACCATGCTGAGCAGGTTCTAGACAATGTGGTTCTGGGTTTAGGAGTAGAAGGCTTAGAACACAGGAGTTCTCAATACAAAGAGAAAAACACCTTTCTCCACAACATACACCCTAAAAGGCAACAGCATATTATAAAAATTACATGGTATTCTCACAGCAAGGAATACTTATTTAAAAATTTTAAAGCTGAGAACTTATTTTGGATGAAATTATGTGACTTTTATTTAGACATACCACAATCTTCAAGTGTTTAGTGTACAGAGTTTCTTTAAATGGCTGTGAATTTATTACTGGCTCAGGAAATTATCCAAGGCCACCAAAAATCAAAACACTTCGGACTGTGTCATGTAAGCGACTTCAGCAAAGGAGCAGGAGAAGCAGAGGAGTGCGGCTGCATTAGAAACACCACGCCCCGCAGAGGACGGCCGCGTCCCCCTCACTGCCCAGGTCCTACCTACAACCGTGATGCGAGTTACACCAACTCTGCTCAGTTAGCAAGAGCTGCCTCAGTAGCGCTCAGCACTTCTCCACAACTCCTTTAGAGAACAGGGAAAGAATGGGCTCTACCACCTGGCCAGAAGCAGCAGTTGCCAGAGCGTCACCTCAGGGACAACCGCGAAGACATTTATCTGCTGTGCTGGCAGTCGCTACAGCCCGTCTTCCTAACAGCGTCCTTTCCGTAAGGACCATTGTCTAAGTGACCTGTCACAGAGCTTTATAAAGTAGCATTAATACTTCGGGCCAAAATGAGATTGATCTTTGAGCTCCGTGGTCTCCTGTTGTCAACAGTGCATTATAAAACCAATACTAAATACTTTATAAACAGGTCTCCCTACAGTGTATTAGGAAAACAGTGCATATTTCATGCCCCATAGTTAGGTAGCCACATATCCATCTGACTAATAAATTATTTAGCAGGTACTCAGAAGTGCAATAAGAGTCAATAAACTAACTTCTGGATACTTATAAGCTACTATTTCACTGGAAATTGTATCTGAATGAGAAAACTGCCTCACTAACTGGACGGGGATGCAAGAATCCCAGTTCTCTCAAGTACACTATTAGCAGGGCAAAGCATCCTGGGTGAGAAGGGGCAACAGCCCCTCGGGGCCTGAAAGAGTCCTGGTTGCCGAACTCAGAAAGCAGCGCCCAGCCCCATGCTGATTTCCTTTCTCTGGTTCGTAGACTCCGCTGGGTCCCCCATGCCTAGAGGGAGCTGATGGGAGCGTTGCTAACACACCCTGACTTGGGCCACGCAACAAGTACCACTAATGGCTTGCATCTGGCTTCTCTAAAGGAACACCAGAAGGACTTGAGGGTACAAGCTCTCTGAGGTACGCACAGCAAGGAACTCGGAATTTATGAATCTAAGATTTAGAGGAGCTTGTTATATTTTGTTTTGCTGTGTTTTTGTTAAAGCTCCTGAACCTACAGACACCTACGACACAGTCCGGGCCCCGAGGCTGACGATGCCAGGCACCTCACTACTGGTTCCGCCCTCTGAGGAACCTTCTGGTCTGGAATGAATTTCAGTCCTCCAGGAGGAATTTCCCCAGCTGGGAGTCATTGCTCACGCTAGCAGAGGCGTGGACCTTCGCATATATTTCGGGCGCCCTGGTTTCCCATGCTGGCCACACCAACACGGGAGCGCAAGCATCTGCAACCCACAGTGGTGTGTGCTCAGCACCCACGCACCCGCAGGGCCGATGCCAACGCAAACCACTCTTCCCAGCCCACATCGGAACCACACTGGTTTCCTGCAGGAGCCAGAGGCTGATACAGTTCTGAAAATGAAGGTTTTGGGTTCTTTCCATTCAAATAATGGGTATGGACTAGTGAGGAGAAGAGAGCCCAGTGGCACCGGCTCTTTCTTCTCACCCTTCCACTTCACGTGGGCAAGCCACAGAAAGGCGTACAGTGTCGAAGCTCTTCTAACACCCTCAGGGGAAACCTAAATGGAGAAACGCATAGATCTCTTACACTTTTTTCATTTTTCTTCCTTGCATCTTACACTTTTATCCCATAA